AAAAAAAAAAAATGTTTCCTGGTCTGATGAGTCTTGATTACTGCTACAATATTTGGATGGCAGGGTCAAAAGTTTGTGCAAACACCATGAAAAGATGATTCAATCCTGCCTTGTATCATTGGTGTAATGGTGTGGGGGTTATTTAATATTTTCTTGGGAATCTTTGGGCTCCTTAGTACCAACTGAGCATCATTTAACCACAGTCTACCTGAGTAAGTCAAAACCAAAGTCTGTGGTTTTGCCCAAAAGTTATTCTCACCAGTTTAACTGATGAGACCCAGAAAGGCAGAAATATAATTATGAAGAAGAACAAATAAAAAGGGGGTAAGAAGCTTATTGAGGAATTAAAATTATTTTGTACAAAAATATCTCATTATTTTGGAGAGCATGGATGACACTTGAGGCTTCTCGAATAACATACTACAATCTCTAATCAAATTATCAGCAGCTGAATTGGTTTAAAAAACAAAGTTAAAATTTAAGTAATGCAAAGATATTACAGGTTTCCTTTATAGACAAAAATAAATAAAATTAAGACTGAATACACATGGTACTCTCATATCAATATTTTCTCATGAAAAGGTCACTTTCTCATTTTTCTCATATACCATGATGATGTCATATCATATATCATACTTTTCTTTTAAAACAACATTTCAAATGTTTCATGAGATAATCATTTCCTTCATATTATCCAGTCGATTTAGCTACAATATATGAAAGAGGTAGGAAAAGGACAAACTACAAAATTATGGCCCAACCTTAAACATACATTACTATGTACAGACATAATCATTTGAGTATTCTCTTGAGTGAGCTACAAGAATATCGTCACTTGAAAAAATGGTAGCCAAAGCTATGAAGAAACTAATAACATTAATATATCCTTCAGCTGATAAAACAGCTTATGGAAACTTCTCAGGGCTCTTGTTAATGTGGTCTGGGAATTCCAGCTACTGTACAAGATTACACAAACACATCCCCCCTGTTTCCTCTATCCCTCTGTCAATTTAGTCTTTATTCCACTCTCTGTGAGTCTAAAATGCACATGCTCATACCAGGTGCAGCTGCAGGGCAGCAGTGGATCAGAGAGCTGATGATGGATGACTGGAGTGCATGAGTGTGTGTGCATGCGTGTGTTAAAGAGGATTCTCCATGCATTATATTGAGTGGCACACCCTCCTGCTGTGAGGAGGCACGGGATGATGATGGACACGGCAAAGAGGTTAACAGCTTGCACGCTCCCTGACAAGCATAAACACATGAAATTGCTGTATAACCCCTCCATGCCACAGTAGCTGAGAGGGTTAGCACACCATTACCATATTACCCAACTACACAGGCCCCAAACACATTTGGCTCCAGCACCAAATGGATGCACTCTCTAGCAGGCGATATAGCACACACCAGGAAAACAACAAAGTTTGTCTGTTTACAGCTAACACTCCTCCTGCCGCAGCGCCTCACTCAGAGGGGTGTTAGCTTCCCTTATGCTTCATCAACATGTTCACACATACAAACACAAATGGATGCATTGACCAAAGCATGTGCGCATATTTGGCTTCTCAGTGGAAAGGGGCAGTTCATTTAACACCAAATGAGCACACAATGGTGTGACCTGATCTGAAGAAACGCTATGCATTTGTGCTTTGGGGCTTTTAAAAGAAGGGTTAACCATCATTTGGAGGAAGGACAACACAATAGATTATTCAAGGAGCGTGTATCTAGGCCATAGTTGTTCATTTTTATGAATTATTTTATGGCAGAACTACATTTTCAGAGTAATTAAAAGAAAATAATGCTGCAGCATGTCTGTCTATTAGAAAAAAATTACAGTACAAACATTCCTCATGTTTAAGCCCCCATCCTACAGTAGGTGTCCATCATGAACCGCGGCAAACAGCCACTATCGACCCTTCTTTGGCAGGCTTTCTACCAACATGCCCGGAGAGAGAAACACAAATAAATGTGTTGTTTATAGATTCAGATCCAGCTGTGCGCTTGTCTCTGTGTGGGCCTGTCAGGTTGGTGGTGGGCATGGCTTTTGGCATTTTTTTTGGATGTCTGAGTGTGTGTGCTTATGTCTCGCTGTATTACGGATGGATGGAAACCATGTTGGAATGCTCTATACTGGCCAAAAATCTTTGGATATGCTGCTGCTGGGCTTGGCCAGGCTTGCCTTTTGGAGGACACACACTGGGTTGCCCCCATGTCTATCGCTAATGTGAACATGGGATGAAGCCTGCTGTCCTCTTCTCTGGAGAAAAAAAAAAAAAATCCTGCTCATCCTAAACAATGAGCACTGGACGGCACAGTGGCCCACTTGGATCATTTGTATGGCTGCTTATCTCAGATATGACAACAGAGCCAGATGTCCTGGATGATTTAAGCAAACATCTGATGAATTTCATCCAATCGGAATTGCCTAATGTAGAGGGGAATATAATTATATAGCTTGACTTGCTGTGCAGCAGGCAGCAAGGAGAAAAATGTAATTCCCTCAGCAATTTACATGAAGATGAGGCAAAACGTCTATTATACCATTTAAAATGCAGATCAGCCCTTGTAAATGATAGTGTCACAGGCCGGTTGCCGAGAGCCTACCTCACAATAACACCAAAGTCTCCTGGCATATGAAAATCAATGCAATGCATTATCAGTCAGTGTCGCTTTGGTTCTGTACGTACCCAACTAAAAGTAATCACAGTTCACAAATTGGATGTAAACTCGGTTAACAATTATCTAAATTCCTCAAATAGACTCTTAAACTTTCTTTCTAAACATTTTAAATAAGAGACAAAATCTTCTTAAATAAGTATCTGTGCCCTATAACTTATTGCAGATGTTAGTAAGTCTGATATCGTTTCCTAGCTGTATAGTCATCCCTATGCATGTCTTCAAGCAGTGATACAGTCTTTTTGGACCCATATTCATTAAAGTTTAAGTGGCACAGCAGTGTCAGGGTGGCATCAGCGCCCAAGGCTCTGAGTAAATTAATGATGCTTAAGTAAACTATGGATTAATTATGGATTGTCCAATGTGTCAGTATGCACGTATGCATATCTGACTGAGCCTCCACCTTGCAGTCATGCTAATGAAGAGCTAACCTGCTTCAGTAGACAGAGAACAGATGGAAAACCCACTTGGCACTACACCAACACTCTCACACACATTATTGCCCTTGAGCAAAGAGAGGCTCTGATTAGGCTTCACTTAAGTTAGTTAGCCTGGAGCTAACACCAACCAGCCAAGCGCAGGAAAGAGAAAGTGGCAGGACAAAAAACAAGGGTACAAACAATTCAAAAAAACACTGAAGAGCTTTTTTTGCCCAGTATATTAATGTCTAATTAGTTTTGTCCCCTGAAGCTAGGGTAAGTGTGTGTGTGGGGGGGGAGACAATCAGAGCTCTGCAAAGAGAAATTTGTTTTGAGCTGAGGCTGCATAAAATGTGACCTCACAACAAAAACAAAAGGGAAAAACGGGTAGGATTTATTTCAACATGTTTTCAGGGGAATTTTGGTTTTTAAAGACATCACTTTGATACGCAAAATCTAAATTTCAGCCATGTTTCCAAGTGAAACAACGCTGCTAAACAGCTTTTGTAGTTTACTATCAGTTTCTTTTCTAGCTTTTCATAAACCAAACAGTAATTAATGAATGAAGAACAGTCATCAGATCAATCAGCAGATTTAGCCACCGCAGCCTTCTACAAAAAAGAAAAGAAAGAGCTATGGATTGCCATTCTTTGTAGTGTATGCCACCCTTTCAATCCAGATCTAAAAGCAACAAATTCTGTTTTGTGAGGGGTGGGGTTGGTGGTGCTTTGAAAGGATGGGGGTGGGTTGTTGTGCTTACATGACTGATGAAGTCATATTTCATACTTGTGTAACAGCAAAACAAAAGCATGAATAACAAAGAATACAGCATCATTGTTATTCTTCAGCTGGTAATGTATGCAGGTGAGCCAGACGCTGGACAAATACAATCAAGTACAAAGAAACCATGGGTAACACTGAACCTCCAATACAGTCTTCTTTCCTGTAAAACAAAGACTTTGGCTACTTAACTGCATGTTACAGCTGGGTATTTTTGACTACATGCAAGTTTAAAAGTCTTTTTTTCTCAAAGGTAAATTTAACATGACAGAGAAAACCAAATCCACATTTATTTTGAAAAGTTCTTACCTGAAATCCTGTCAGAAACAACTTTGCAGATTTACTTATTTATTTATTTTTCCTGAGGATAGTTGTAATCTAGAGGCTATTCCACAATAAAGAAAACATATATAAAATAATCTCCATAGAAATATTTCCTGCTACTTAAAGGCATTTTTATTTCTCTTTTGCCAAAAAAATAGCATCATAAATGTTCTATAAAAAATAATAGATGTGGCGCAAATGTGATATGATGTCAAAGAAAACCCCAAAGTAGCTTATAAAGTCACAGTTAGAGACCAGCTCATGCCCCGTATGAATACCCACTGTAGATATGGGTAAGATGCTCTAGTAAAGGGAATAGTAGGCGCTCTTACCGTCCACAGCCATAGTCGGTCTCAGCGTGTATCTCTCCGTGGTGTCAACAGGACTCTCTCATTCTTCTGCCAGACGGATAAAATGTAGGCTACTGAGCGTGAGAGATGAAGAGCGCTTCCTGCCCCTTCTAACCTATGTGAGCATGGAGACAGCTCTTACTGCTGTTAGTACTGGGAGAAAAGAAAAACCTAGATCACACTCTTCCTCTCTGTCGGTTCACGGCCATTTGGTCTCCGGGATGCCGGGACCAGTCCGCTATGAAACTGCTCCTTCAGTATCTCCGCCCCCCTCCCTCCGTACCTGACCGGCTGGAGACAAAAGGTCATTACGCCCCGACACCAGCTGTTATAGGACACAGACGCCGCTCTCTCTCTCCCTCTCTCTCTTTCTCTCTCACCCCACGCACAAACACATCCACGCCTCTTTTTTGTTAAATCACGAGCGACGATAGAGATTCACATAACACAGAACCCCCCACCCCCTTTTTCTTAAAAATGCCCAGAAAAACTTTCGTCTTCCACTATATTGTTATTGTTGTAATAATAATAATAATAATAATAATAATAATAATAATAATATAGAAGTTTTCTCTGATGTTTGTTTGAAACCTTCTAGTTTCCTCAACCTAAAGTTTCCAAGTTGTGCACACTGGGACAGCAATCAGATAAAGTGAACCATTACAGAAAGCAAAGTCCTGGTTATCATATACTGCAGCATTGTGGTTCCACTAAGGGTCCGACAGGAGGAAGAAGAACGGTCAAAATGAAAACAGCATCAGCGGGGCAGTATAGTCAGTGAGTTTTGCTCACTTTTTACTATAGCTACCAACACAAATGTTATCTAAAGAAAAGTATGCAGTCACATTGTCACTGTAACTTTCTTTGCCTAAATTTAACCTGATTGTTTTGGGACTGCTCCCATATTGATATTACCTGTTATATTAAACATGTCTCCTCATACCAATTTTGTTAAACGTTTAAATGTAGTTCAAATATAGAGTGAAGAAGCGCTGAAAGACTTTACAATAGATATGTTATTTTTCATCCGTTCGTTCTTTCCCTTCCATTATCAGCACACTTCTTCTAACCATCAGTAAATCTGTCACTGTCCGCACTCCTCCCAAGGGATTTGTGTCTAGAACCAAACCAGATCTTTTGCTTGTTAGGCAAATGTGCAAATCACTACATTAGAGCCACTCAAATCAGAGAAGACATTATGGATCATTATTTGCCTTCACAATAGTACGCTGATGAATGAAGTGTTTCATTTAGTTTATTTGTGTGTCTGCGTGTGTGCAAAAACTGGTCCTCTGCATTGAGTGGAAAGAACAGAAGAAATTTTAAGTACATGTTTTTGCTACCATCTATGTGAGCAGAAGGTCTCAAACCACAAACCAAGAAGCAGAAATGTGTAGAGATCCTCTGGCAGCAAAACCTAAAAACAGCCATCCCCCTGTAGACATCCACGTCAGCTGCTATTTGCCCGTCAAACAACCGAGCTTCACTTCAAAGCGGAGAATATGGGAGAAAGTTGTGAACGTGTCTTTGTCAATATAATCTCACAGCATATCCGACTAATTGATTCTGCTGGCATTCAGATACATGCAGATTGCTCTGCACCAGTGCTTTTTGTGTGTGTGTGTGTGTAGAACAGTCGAGAGATATGTCCCTGAAAGACTCCATCAGTCTGCGGAAGAAGATGGGGGCCCTCCCTAAAGCTCAGGCACTGCACTGGATCATCAAAGGGTGAACAACAAGGAACAAAGGACTAGCTGGTCCATCAGGGCTTCACCAGAATACATGCTGATTGGGAGTGAGCCTGCCAGACACACCAACACACAGATTTACTGTATACATAATGTTAATACACACATACACACACATGCACACACACACATTTGCATTCACTCCCTCACACTCACAGAGTCAGAGCTTAATTTAGAAGTGTGTTCTCTATGCCTGTAAGGACATTTTGTCATGTAAAAAAATTGAGCGGTTGAATCCTTGCATCTTTAATTCAGAGGGTGGTCTGTGTGCTGAATAATGAATAGAACGGGTCCAAAAGAGATCAAGGGAGAGACAAACTTGCTAAGAACCACAGGGTCTCAGGTGACAGCAACACAGCAACTAAAGTATGAGTGAGCAACTCTTGCGGGGGAGGCGGGAGAGGTATGTCAGTGCAGATAAAGAAGAGAACAACAGCAAAGGGACATGAAAAGTGCTATTGTTTGTAGTCATTCATTACTTTTTATAATTCATTCTTCAGTCGGCTGCAGGAGCACAAGCAGAGAGTTTTGTTAAAGCATTTTTAGTGAGATAAGCAGTATCAGTGAAAGGTCAGAGTGATGGTGACTAAGAGAGTGTTTGCCTCCATGCATTTTATAGTATGATATTCAGTATAACTGATATATGAAACCATTAATATTTCTCTGATAATGCTGTACTAGCATTATCAACCCTAACTCCATGCCATTTGTTTTCTTTGGGTTCTTTTGCTTCGGACAGTGCAAAACTAGCAAAATCGAAATGCATGCGGCGCAAACACATTCACACATGCCATTTAAAAATGCACTTTTTTGAAAAGTAGACCGAGCTTTCCAACAACATAAACAACAGCAGCAAGCAGTATGCTTGTACTGCTAACAACAAGATTGCAGCTACTGATGAAAAAGGAGTGTCTTGGACTTGTGTTGGAGCTCCCTTCAAAGAGAGAGGGAGAAAGAGAGCCTTTCCTCAAGAAGCACAGAGAAGCTATTGATAGTGGAGTGTGGCATCAGCCTCACCAAAGCTGGTGTCATGGTGAGCGGCTGTCCCCAAGTTGGCAGTGAAGAATAATAGTGCCAAATACAACAGTAAAATGGATAGAGAAGGGCAGCCAAGGGAAGACCGGATAAACCTTGGGTGCATCTAAATGGCTCAGAAACAGAAAAGATTCAAAGAGGTTGGATATCAGTAAAACAGAAGAGTCGTCTTCTCTCTACACTTAATGTGATCTGAAAGGGGGGATGCTTTTTTTTCTGGTGAAAGTGAAAGCAATCTAATGAATTCCCATAGGAAGCTATTTACTCCACTGAGATGAGTGCAGATGATAGAGAGGAATCCACTTTATAGTGTTAAGTTGTGGCCCTGAGCTGCTTTCCTAATCAAAGACTTTAAAAGAAGTATTTGGCAATTCTGTGTGCATATTGAGGAGAGGCCTCCTTTGAAAGTGTTGCGTCCCCTTTCTAGATTTATTCTGGATGTGGACCAAAAGATGACAGACACATTTGAGAGATATATTCCTTTTACCACTCCCTGATCACTACCTCTTTTCGCCTGCTCCACACCCAATACATGTATGCACGTATACATTTGGACATATGCAGAAGGAGGAAGGGATGGAACACAATTCAGATGCCACAAACCCCTTCACAGTAGCCACACCCATGCAAATGTGCACAGTGTAACCATGTTGTTATCTCTTTAATGACCTTCTTGAACTCTGCTGTTGGAATTGACTCTGCTGACCACGTGGGGGTCATGACCTCATTCCACACCACTGCAAAGGTCTTTGAAGTCTTACAGAAGAGCTTTATTCTTGTTTGTCTTATGTTTACGTTAAATACTGTATATGAAGCAAATCGAGAATGTCATCCTTGTGGCTGAATGTCAATGATGCCATTAATGTGTCCATGGGTTAAATACAATGATTTTTAAGGTACTGTGTACAGATTTTTACTAATTACAGTTTTTCTCCATCGCTTTGGTGCAGTTCTCACATCAGGAACTTCATTCTCACTAACTCTTAATTAACACATTTTCCCACTCACATTAGCCTTTCTATTTGGTCTCTACACTCTACACTGTACACTGCTATTGTGTCTCTCACTTTCCTTAACACTCTGCAGCATTGTTGGAGAGTATTTTCAAATTACTTCAAATTACTTACTTCAAACATTTTACTTTTTTCACTGACAGTGACATTAAGGAACCTCATCTTCAGCTGAAAGCTAATATAAACACGTGTTCTCAGAAAAGGTTAATTGGAAACAAATAGAATACATACTCTTGTGTCACAGGTTGATGTCATGGCACTGTTAATTACACACAAGCATATACTATACATATATACTCACTTGCTACTTTATTAGTTACACCTTGCAAGCCATTTCCCTTCAGAAATACTTCAAGTCTTTGTGACATAGATTCATCAATGTGCTTAGAAATTTTGCTCCATGTTTAGATGATAGCATTGCACAGCTGCAGAAGATTTGTCAGCTGCTCATCCAAATTTCCCCTTCCTCTAAGCTGTTTTACTGGACTAAGATCTGATGACTGTGGAGGCCACTGGAGTTCAGTGTTTTTCAATCTTTTATTGTCTAATTATGGGGAATCAGTGCAAAATGTAGCCTCAGTTTCCCGTTCTTAGCTGACAGGTGTTGCACCTAGCACAGTCTTCTGTTGCTGTTGTGCTTTCAGAAATGCTCTTCTGCATAACTTGTTTGTAATGAGTGGTTATGTAAGTTACTTCTCCCTTTCTATCAGCTCAAAGTAATCTGCCCATTCTCTTCTGACATCAACAAGGTATTTTCACCCTAAGAACTGCTGGTCACTGAATATTTTCTCATTTTAGATAATTCCATGTAAACCCTGGAGATGGTTGTGGAGGAAAATCCCAGTACATCAGCAATGTCTGAAATACCCACACCAGCCCGTCTGACAACAACCATGCCACATTCAATCATCTTTCATGCTTATTCCAATGCTTGGGTTGAACTTCAGCAGCTTGTCCTGACCATAACTTCATGCCTAAATGCTTTGAGTTGCGGCATATGTGAAAGGCTGATTAGATATCTGGATTACTGTGCCTAATACCTAATAAAGTGGATGCTGAATGTTTGTACTGTGACTTTACTGGACTATACTTTAGTTGGTTCTATGTTCACAGACTGTATCTATTTTCTTTGTCTTTTATGGTGGTTCTATTTTGCTTTTCTCTCATTTCATTTAGTTAAAAATCCTTCACATTTCATTTTTATGCCTGAAAAATGTTCACTCCCCATTCAGCCTACATTTTTAAGACTTTTTCCAAAGGCAGTAAGGTTTTGAGAAAAAAACTAAACACTTTGATGACTTTAAAAGGTGGTGAATCTTTTTTTCATTCATCACAGAGTTGAAGTATTCATGTTTTGGTACATGTGAAATATGGAGGACCACAAGAGCCACGCGCATCGAAATAAAGAATTCTGTGCTTAAATAATGAATTGTAGAATAAATTCTGCATTTGTAAATTCATTTTTGAATTCCAATTTAATAAACTGCATTTCAAAATCCTTTTTCCATTTGCACTTTAATAAACTGCATTTCAAAATCCATTTCCCTTTCCTGTTCGCTCAGGGATTAGCTGCTGGATTAGCTCTTC